CTGCAAGCCGCCGAGGTTGTCGAGGAACCCCGACAAGCTGGGATGGTCATCCGGAGTGAGTTCGACTGCGCGACATTGAATCGTGATGGCGCGCTGGAGGTCGGCAGGGTCGTCGAGTCGCTCAGAACGACTGCGCAAGGACCAAGCGAGGTTGTTCAGCTGGGTTGCTTTATCGGGATGGTCATCCGGAGTCAGCTCGATTGCACGCTGTTGACTCGCAATCGCGCTCTCGAGATCTTCAAACTTTCCGAAGCGTCGAAAACGAAGCTCCTGCAAGCCGCCGAGATTGTTGAGATGCACTGGCAAGTAGGGATGGGCATCCGGAGTGAGGTCTACCGCTCGGTGTTGGATCGTGATGGCGCGCTCGAGGTCAACGGGGCCGTCGAGACGCTCAAAGCGACTGCGCAAGGACCAAGCGAGGTTGCTCAGCCGGGTCGCTTTATCGGGATGGTCGTCGGGAGTCAGCTCGGCTGCACACTGTTGAATCGCAATCGCGCTCTCGAGATCTTCGAGCTTTCCGAAGCGTTCGAAACGAAGCAGCTGCAAGCCTCCGATGTTGTTGAGGCACCCTGGCAAGTCGGGATGGTCGTCCGGAGTGAGTTCGACCGCGCGGCCTTGAATCGTGATGGCGCGCTCGAGGTCGGCGGGATCGTCAAGTCGGTTGAATCGACTGCGCAAGGACCAAGCGAGGTTGTGCAGGAGAGTCGCTTTACCGGGATGATCATCAGGAGTCAGCCCGGTTGCACGCTGTTGACTCGCAGCGGCCTTTTCGAGGTCTTCGAGCTTTCCGAAGCGTCGAAAACGATTCCAATGCAAACCACCGAGGTTGGTTAGGTATACTGACAAGCTGGGATGGTCGTCCGGAGTGAGCTCGATTGCACTTTGTTGTATTTCAATGGCGCTTTTGAGGTCTTCAACTGTACCGAGGGATCTGAAGCGTTTTCGCAATGTGGCACTGAGATTGTTCAGACGCAAAGCCTTGTCTGGGTGTCCGTCTGGTACGAGTTGGAGGGCGCTTTGCTCCGCGGCGATGGCACGTTGAAGATCGTGAAGATTCCCTCGAGCTTCGTAATAGAGACCTAGACACTGTCCCAGCCAGTCCAGTAGATTCGCTGTTTGTACAGGTGCAGCGTCCACTGCTCGTTGAAATAGAGCTATGGCCTTTTCAAGATGGGCCAGTTCCCACGTCTGCTCGTATGAAGCATATGCACGCAGGGCGGCATCTACATCATCAGCCTCCGAACTCTCGGAAGTCGAAGACGTCGTATCCGAAGGTTCCTATGAGCTCGTCAATAAAACCGGCCAGAGCAAGGCGATCCGCCTGGTATTGGCGAACCCACCTCGGGAGGTACGGCGGCTTGTTCGTCGACAGAATCTCGTTGTTCATCCATCGTAAGGCAAGCAATCTGCGGCGGCAGATGATCAGTTTCAGAACGAGGTGTTGTCGAAAGGAGAGAATGCTCACAGCGAGCCGCGCGGGTAGATGCACTTGAGGTGGAAAAGAAGCCGATCGACGAACTCAGTCGAAGGACATATAGTAGTGTCAGTGAGAACGCTAGGATATCGTTACTTCTCTGGGAACTCAATGAAGCCGCGCGTCGACACAGCCTTGCAGGCAGGCGCTCGATGAACGGAACACCCTTCAGCATACGGTTGGACTTCGCCAGGGTCCCCAGTCGTAGAAGTAGTTAAACTCGGAGATCGCACGTAGTGGATTCAGTCAACACTCATGAAGGGGATGGCTCGTGGATACAATATGCACACGTAGATTGAACCAGTCATAAATGATGATAGAATTTACTCTCAAATCACAAGCAGGCTGGGCAGGCAGTGCACAAGTACACCTTGCCGGCAGGCGATGCATCGATAATGCAACCCTACGCAGACGGGCGAGAGCAATGGCTGTAGCGGGCCTCGGCGGAATGCTAGTACCCCCACGGTCGTGCTAAAGAGACGCACGGCACAGCCTACGACGCGCGAGGCAAATACGGGGGTATACATGTTGCATATGATGAATCATGATGCCGTCAGACATGAGAATGGCTCGGGTCTGTAGATGTATGAGCATCCGGAATGAGCTATGGCGGTAGTGTGCGCGCACCTCTGTCAGAAAATACGCCGTGCACTATTATGGCACATACAGGCGCGTAGAACGCGCAGGAAACCCGGCCATCACTCCTCGAGTTTGTGGGTGTGTGCAGGGCTGGGGAAGCAACATCGCGCTGCAGATACTGAAGTTGCTTGCAAGGAGTGCAGTAGCCCAGTTGCAACGGTGCCAAGCCTTATCATGTGCAGCCTCCTCGCCCTCGCCTTCCCGCCAGCACCCCTGCCTTGCGCGCAGTTTCACCGGACGCCGTCGAGTACAGGCATCCTGCTGTGCGTTCCTCGCGTCTTTCTCCGCATTCTCCGATGCCAGGCAGTTTCACAGAAGTAGCCTGTGCACGATAGGCTATATCGAATGGCGCCGAACAGCTCCTCAAGGGGCGATGAGATGTGGGAAGGCCATGGTGGTGGGCTGAATACATGCTCGGCGCGTGTCGTGATTCATCCGCGACCACCATATCCTCGGAACTCGATCACCCACGCATAACTGTGCCTAAGCTGCCTCGAAAGCTTTATTTAAGGCGAGCGTTGTACGGTACGCGGTCACATGGGATCAAAGCCAGGAAGTCTCCGCGTCGGTCAAGAGATCACTCCTGCACACCGCGCCGCGGTTCATCTGCAACCACCTCCTCACGCGCGGCTCGGTCGTGCGATAGGTACGCGGTTGCATGCGATGAGCTCCCGAATAGAGCCAGGAAGACTCATCGCCACTTGCAGCAAGACTCGACAGAGCTGGCCTGTCGCGAGTCGCTTGGGCAGGCGGCGCTCGCGCGGAAATTTCGATTCTGGAGAATGACCAGGAGAGGTCGACACGTTCGTACGCGTGCCGTGGTGCGTCGTGGTCCCTACACGAGCTCACATATACTGACACACTGCTGCCTAGCACATCCAGGGTGCTGACGTACGGAGGACCGCAACAACCCGAACCCTCCGAACCTTTCACTATCATCGACTCCCCGACACTCGCCTCCACACTCTCGTCCGTCTCGTGCTCAGCGCCGTGCTTGCTACCTAAGTGAGCATCATCTCCGACTATGTACTCGGCATGTACTATCGCTGACCATCGCTTCCAGCTCGGGCGCTAACTTGGACGCTCGCGCACCCGAGATATACAACCACGCCGGCGGCGCTGGCGCTCTCTTGCTTGTATGCCTCGTACGAAGGAGAAGGGGACAAGAACGCCTAAATTCTCAAGCGCCAACCGCCAATCTTTTCATCAACTCGAGGGGTCAAAGCACTCTTACGTCTATCTTCATACGTCGCGTTGTTGTATTTCCCCCCACTGTTCAGGCTAAGTCGTCGCTGACAACGTCCTACAGTACCCCGGCTCCACGCTCTCTTGATGCGTACGACCTCACTGGTGATATTGGCGCTCCTCTCTTCGGGCAGCCCGAAGGCTACAGCGGTACAACGACGAGGACGAGTACGTTTTTGAACTCTGGCCGGCTAGTTCGGACGTCACGCCACGACCTCCATCAGACGTAACGTCCACGACCTTCCTGCTGTGATCGACGCAGTCCTATTCGACTGAAGTCCAACGAATACGACGGGCACGGCGATGAAGACTCCTACATCCTCAAGCGCGAAAACAGCACGGCCGAGGCTCGCCATCCCGACCTGAGCGACCTGACTGGCGGAATCGGCGCGCTACTGCTCTGGCTACCCCGAGTACTTCAGCATCGACAGCCACGAGGACGGTTGCGCTCTTTCGCGTCAACTGGGGGTCTCGAACAGCAATACCCGACGACCGCTCGCTCTTCATACCGACTCAAGCCTCGACGTCGGCACTATTGACTATCCTGTCGAGTTTGGGCGGCACGGTCTTGCGAGATGTTCTCGAACCTTTCATGTATAGTCAATCTGCGATACTCCTGTACGTTCGGTGCATTTATGAATGAGATTTCTTGCCTCACTCACGCATAGCGCGATGAGACGAAGCCAAAAGGACCAGTCTTCCTGCCAGCCTTCAGAGGGTCTGTTATCCTCTCATGGCCGTATTGGCTGCACAGACCCATAGCAATCGCAACGAGCGCTATACAATGCCCGAATACTCATCTCCGTCACGCACAATCGGCTCAGTTAGTACATTACAGGTACGTCTCCGAGCCAAGCTTCGAATGGATTAAATTCGCCATCTCCTACGTGTACGAGTACATGTCTACCTAACCTTACGAGCGTACTCTCGAGGCTGGCGCCCCCTTGTCCGTTGAGACCATCCCACCTACGTCCATACTCCGACTCTCGCATGGCTCTACTGAACATCGAGGTGTATTGCGCGGAATATATGCATAATCGGAACATTGTCCCCCGGGTCTTCGTGTACGATAAGACGATATAGTCCAGGTCTAAGGTGCACAGACACACTTTGTTCTGAACTCGTTCCCGCGGTGAAACGAACGAGCCGGGACGTTGAGCGTGAGGCGCGTGAGCGCCATGGTCCAGAGTAAACTCTGCGACGCTGGCTTCATCCGGATGAGACCAGTCCAAACACCCGCAGGCCGGGACGTTGAGTGACCCCTGCTCTCGACCGTAGACTGGATACGAATGTGAGCAGAAGGAACGAAGATGTAGTGCGAGAAGCGTACATTAAAAGCAAGACTCCCGGAGAGCCCGCGCGCGCCACACAGATCTCGGCGTAAGTCGTCGACGCTTGGCCATCAATCGGACGAGCCAAGTAGCAGCACTCCTTCGAGGCCGAGTAGAGTTGAGTATCTGTACATAAGGATCAGTACACGCGCTCAATGGAATGAACCGTAGATACGCACCAGGGCGTATACCATCCTCCACAGCATCTCGGAAGGAGCGACAAGGCGCCGAGCAGCAGCGAGGATACGAGAAGGGCTTGATCTCGGGCGGAGGCGACGAGCGCAACTTGGAGGAGTATGATGGGCCGGCGGCGGCGCATTTGCGCGCAGACGTTCTTCATCCCAGCTCATCAGAAAAGAAAGTTTGGAGAGCATGGTGATAGACGGACCGGTGTGTACGTTGTCGAGCCCAAGTAGACGCCTATATTGGCGTCACGCCCAGACATTGACCTTGACGGAGAGGCGTGCCACTTGGATGCGCGCAGAGCACGGCGTGGAACGCGCACGGGTGGACGGCCTTATCGTCGTCGTCGGTCCGACCGTTGCTGCCACCGACGTCTTCATCATCCTCTACACTCGCATCCGCCTGCTCGCCCTCGCACTCATTTTCTGCGTTATCCTCCGGCGCGGCGCAGTGCCAGTCATATGTTAGGCAGCGATGCGGCCCAGTCTAAGAGGCTATATCGCATGGTGCTGAGCAGGTACTCCAAGTGGGATGAGACGCGGAAGGGACATGATAGTGGGAAGAAGAGACCGCGCACGACGTTCGCTGCGAATGAACCAGTATTTTCATCCGCAACCTCCATGTACTCCACCGCCACGCCTGCATCACATGCCACGGCCCTCAATGAAGGTCTTCTGAGACCGGTGCTGCATTGAGGATAGAGTGGTACGCAGTATAAGTCGTCAGACAGTGGAGCGTGAAGGCTCACAGCTGGTCGCAAGTAGATACCACGTCCATGAGGATATGGTCTTCAAGGAGCTCGCCCTGATGCTGGCCTGTTGCCAGTCGATGTAACAGTTTGCAGGCGACGCTTCGGTGCGTCGCGACCCACTATGCTCGCCCAGGTCCCGTAGACTGAAGCCCTGCTGTTTAGACGTCGGGCGGACAAGGCAACTATCCCCCACTACGACTGTTTGCACCGCTTCCGCTAGGTGAGCATCTCCGACGGCTACTCGGCGTGTGATGTCGCTTACCATTGCCTATAGCTCTTCGGGCGCTCGCTTCAATGCTCCCTGACCGGGAATACAACCTCGGCGGCGGCGCTGGCTCTCTCATATCCAATCGCTATACGAACTTCCGACGAGGACGCCCACGCTTGTAAGCATCAACTGCTGGCCTCGACATCCAGCATGTCACTACCCTCACCGCTCGTGCCTACGACTGATATCGATCCTGTTCGCTCAGAACCCGTCGGCCACTTGTACGACTTAACCGGTATTGACGGCCTGCCCAGGGCGGAGAGGACTTCGACGAGCACATCTTAGGCGCTAGCTACTTATGTAGTCCCGATATTAGCTCCAGGCTCACACTCAATCGGATACCTAATGTGCCGCTTGTCTCGGGAATGATACCAACACCGTCAACGCTAGCCTCGAGCGCGATGCCCTCGCTACTTCTGGCGATACCCGCGCGCCTCCCCGGTTTTTCATCAATGGTTGCCGTGGATAGGACGACGAAAACGCATACGTTGTCGAGCGCGATGGCAGCACGGGCAGGGCTCGCTTTCATGGCGTGCACGATCTGGCTGGCGGAATTGGCGCGCTTTTTGTCTACTTCGAGGATCACGGCGATGGCGGCGTGGACGCGTGCGTCCTGGACCTCATGCGCCGGCTTGGAGGATCTTGTTGTGGTAGCGGTGCGAATGCGCACGAATAGCTATACCGGCACCCTCGCTCTAAGGTGCGTATCGGCAGCACCTTTCCCTCGAACTCGTACTGATAAGGATGTATAGACGCTATGAATAAACGTGCGGAGGTTGACTGGCATTGAAGAAGGGCTCTCTCGTGGAGCTGGTCCTGTATGTGACTTGGCCGAGCGCTGAGTCGATGCGGACAGTCTACGTGATCGTGCGACACCATACACAAGGATTGTGGGAAGCATAACTGCTATGCGCGTGCACAGCCAAGGGATCGAAGTAGTACGTGATCAAGTTCCTGTATAGCTTGACCATGGTCTGACCCGGGATTCCCCAGGTTCCAACACGCAGTTGCCTCGATGTATGTCGAGAATATAGGCTCTTGCAAAATACTAAATATATTCTTCCGCCCAGTTTGCTGTTGATGCGCTCGCGCGCCGCACAGTCTACATCCATCTATCGTCGAAACTTCATCGTTTCAGAGCGCGATACGCTCGAAACAGAAAGAGAAAGAACATGCCGTCGCTCACGATAAACACTATGACGAAGAACAGGTGTTGCGAACTCAGACGAACGAGTCCGACTATCCAATTCGACGAACCACGTTCTTCTACTCATATCCCGAAGAGCACAAACGGCGCCATATCTCGGAGTGCACGAACGGCGCCCACCGCACGACGTTTATATCCTCAATCTCCTCCCTCGCTTGCCCACCTCAAGTAGAGCGGACGCGGCGCCCGTCTCTCCTGCGCAGAGCGTCCCGGAAGCGCGAAGCTCGAGCGGCTTCTTGTAATTTGCCTCGGCAATTAACGGCGTGGTGGCACCCGAGAACGACAATCGGCCGTTGTACAGCGCGAAGGCGCTCTCCGAGGGATCGTCAGTATCTTTACAGCCATGGCCGGCGACACGCGGCCCGGAGCGCAGTCTGGGCGAAAGCCTCACGGCTGCGAGGCAGCGAAAACCCCGCGCTTCCCTATATCCTAAGGTCTCTGGCAGCCCGTCGGTGGAACCGTCAGGGACAAGGTGACTTGTCAGCTGCGGGTATTGACGAACTCGCCTTCGAAAGTTGATGATAGTGACTCCCGGCGCAGGATCTATACTACCCGCACTTGCAAAAATGCCTCGGTGTCCACCTCGTATCGTCAGGTGGCCGATTGCTCGCACTGGATTATACTGTCACGAATGAGCTCGAGAGAGTTTAATTCGCTACGCAACCACGTCACGGTTGCACCGTAGCTTACGGGTGGCGCTTGTGGTTGTCCTTAGTAGCCGGACGCTAGATGTACCCAGTCGTAGCCCAATCACATTTGACTACTTCTGCACTACTTACCCTGAGTTGACTAGGCGGATGAGATCCTCTGAGCAACCAACTTTCTTGATAGGACATCGTGTGCGCGTTCTTCGACGCACGCGCTTGACGTATCATGTTAGAATCAGTCGCGCTACACCTGTAGATTACAACAGCTTCTTGGCTTCCAATCCAGCTCTCGCATACGAGACACACGGCTCCCTCACGTCCCTGTCAATCTTGAATCTAGCATGGGCCGACCATGTCAAATTCAGTCTTGCCGCTACGCGTCCTCTGGGAAAATCCCAGTTGGAGGGCGGCCTCGTGGCGGCCACGTGCTGGCCGGCCCGGAGTCCACAAGTCGATGATATCACAAATATATTGTATAAGTCGGTCGCAGGCTGCCTTCAAAGCTTCCAAGACGGTATGACCCAGATAGATACATATCAGTGCACATGAACCAATGTTTAGATGCAGGACTTGCAGATGCGCCTGATTCACGGCGTCATTCGCCGCGCGTCTCATCTGAATGCTGTCGCTGCAGACGCTTCTTGACTCGGACTTTCACCTTGCGCGCCAGAGTCTCGCTAGGGCGCTCCGTAAACCCTACGCCTGACCCAGGAACAACTCTTCCTACCGAAAGATTGTCGACATCTCTCCAGCTTGATGACTACTGATGCGCTGGCATCTTCTCTAGTCGTCGACCGCGCTCGATCCGCACTCCCTCTGTAGAGCTCAAGTGCATTGAGACCGTGCTGGCTACACGTAGCCTTGTGCGATAACACAGACACTCACCTGACCAGGCTACGGTTACCGATTCTCTTCGCTTCGCCCTCCGCTCAATGCTACGTCCGTTCCGGAATGTCAGTGGATTGCTATCTGTAGGATCTATAGGTAATGTAAATCAACCCAGACCCAGATTCGCTAACGGGGACAGAGATTACGGGCGTCATAAGCCAACTGGAGCTCGGCATCACCTTCACACCACTGCCTGAGCCAGCAACAGGAAGAAACCTGGGATCCGAAATGATCTGCATCGTCTAGGATTCCTACAGATAGCAATGTAGCCGCTCTGATCGGTAGCGCTACATGTAGGTAATTTGTGAAGACTATACTCCTCATTGAGATACGGCGCAATGTTGCTACGGGACCTCTAGGTACGCTACAACTCATTGGTCTATATAGTGCTCTGTGTAAGATCGTCTGGCATCGTCAGGCTCGAACGCTACCTCATACGCTTTGCTCTCTGTCCTCCAGATGCCACATTCGACCTGGGTTCCTCACTCGACCTTTGCCACGCGTTCTGACATGGATCTTACACCGGTAAATATGCTCCTCGGCAACAAACTGTAACGCTATGGCTCACCAATACATAGCAGCCAACGAACGACCATCTGACTCTGAGCTATGTGGCTTACACGGCATCGCCGCGGCCTGGCTATGCGTTCAAGTTACTCAATAAGTACACACAATGCTCGGATTGTCGCCGTAATGGTGTTCACTTCTACGGTGCGGACGGCAGCTATCGTGTCATAGACAAGCACGGAAACCCCTCTTCTGCTCTCTGCTATAAACCCGATCCCCGAAGGGGGACTATTGTGCCTCAGTGGATATGGCAACCTGAGCTATCCGGTGGCGTAAAGCGCCACATTCAAGATGGCAACCTGCTATGGCCAATCCACTTCAAGCGTCAAAATGGCGTCGTCGGCTTCAACATGTCCAGTGCACTTTCCGCTGGCGGCTTCTTCGACATCGTTGGCGCCAACACACCTGCGCCCATGGGCGAGTTGGCCACTACGAAACTGTCATTACAAGTTCGTGAAGCATCTGGTGCTTTCCCGCTTCTCTCATTGTGACATTTTCCCTTAGTGGCCGGGATATCACCATGACACGAGACAGGTGGAAATCAGGGACGGCGACCGTTCTCCCATCACAATGTCTAAGTTGGCCGAACGGGTCGTGCGTTTCGTTCGGCGGTATATTCAGGTGCGGGTATTTTCGACGTACATGATGAAGTATCTGGGATAACGGGATGTGAATAGAACGCCAGTGCGAAGGAGAATATCCAAGGACAATGGCGCATTGGACCAGGCGCGATCGGTGAAGAGCACATATACATCATAGGCCTCATGCATGTCAGCCGTGGCGTTTGGCAGATCAGTGAGTGTGCCCTACAATGTCAACCGGCATCTACTTCACTCAACGTTAATAGTGTTACAACTGGACGGTTTGGTTTACCTGTGATAGGCGATTGTGAGGTTGAAGGATCCGGGTCTGGCACGATAGAGGAGTCGCGTCGGTGGGCTCGCTGCATAGCTCGAATCCAAAATACATTGCGAAATTGAATGCATTTCTGTTGTAATGCTGGTGGCGACTCAAACGCGAGTGCAGATTGTCTTATGATGAGTCGAGGGACTCGTCGTCACAGGACGGAAGTATCTACCACACATGTTCGTGTGAGTTCGCAGTATTCAACGTCAACTTGGGACCTGGGCCTGAGCCCCACTCTTATTCGAGCTGGTAGCTATTTGCTATGACTTATGCGATGTTATTAATCGTAGGCTTGGCGGTCATCTGCTTGCCAGTACATGCGGAACTTGGGGAATACACTAGGCCGCACGCTGAAGTGACGTAGAGGGCAGAGTACGTACCACTGGCGGTGTTTGCATCTCTGACTCTGACCACCACCTCCGTCTATCCGTGTCAAAGTTACGGGTCACATGCAAGAACGCGCAAACGCGCGGTCCGAGAGAGCGATCGCGGGGAGAAAGTTGTCTCGAATTGTCAACCCCGACGAGCGCAATACCTGGCGGGACAGATATAGCGACTAGGACCTACAGATGCTGCAAGACGACGTCTTGCAGGAGTTCTCCAACGAGAGTCCCGACGTAAAGTCCACGACCGCGTCCTGCGGATCACATACCTGATGGCAAGTCCAGCTGGCGGGATATCAGAAGGCTGTTGCCCGCGATCGGGGTAGCGCAGAGCGTGTATACTGGTGTATACCGCCCCCGTCGTCGATGCCGACGAACTAAATGCTCATATAGAACCCTTGTAGCTCGACTTTTCGACCCGTACTAGCTTGCGCAGAGCTGCGAGGTTGTGGCCGAGAGCAAGACGCGTCAACGATAAGCGTGAACGGAGCCCGTTCCGCTCGGCGGCCATTTGGGCATATTTGGCCCGCGCTCGTTTTTCTCGGTCAATTTCTCTCCCATAGAAAGATCAAGAGACCTGAATAGCTGTGTAGTGCATCATCACGACTCTTGTAGCGATAAATAGACGAGGGGATGAGCTTGCTCGGCCTCCGCACGGGAGTGGGCACGTCCGCTGCTTACGTACCCACTCCCACGTACCCGCAGGTACCCACCCCCAGCCATCAACGTTCAACTGGCGGACTCACTTGAATCCCGCCCACTCTCTTGGCGGTGCTTTTGCCCAGTGCTCGCTATAAGTGCTCGCTATAAACATCGCTATCGCGCGTCGGCGACCGTGTGGGAGTTCACGTAGACACTAGGGCCGTGCGGAGAGTTGAAGACGAGGGTAGGGGGCGCACAGCACCGAACAACACTAAAAACCAGTACTGCATCGGTGATATTGTTGTATCATACCTATGTACGCACCAATAGACGTGTTTCCGGCCGTTGGCGGTGGCTTGAAGCCGTCAGCAGCCGCTGACGGCTACGCACTATGACTAGAAGGCTTTGGGAAGGCTGTGCTGGCACGCGGTTTCCTCGCATACACAGCAAAGTACCTGAATCCTAGCATTCTCACTGGCCCTTTACATATGAGGCATCTCGACCATTTCCGCGAATGGCTTCACTCCCCACGTAGGGCATACATTGGCGCGGCTTGCTGTGAGTGATTTCTCCTCTCGACGTCATCCTTGTTCTGAAATCGATCGCTTTCTGCGATAGACGCTCACCTTCTCGATGGTTGAGAAATCAAGTACGATCGAAGAACAAGCCGCCGTGTCTCCCGAGGTGAGTACAAAATAATTGGGGGATCGCCTCCGCAAATTTATTGATGGGCTGCCAGGAACAGCCTTTGTTGACAGGGACTTCACCTGCCGGAAGTCCCCAGTTTGATGAGGTGATCGCCGCACGACATGCGTACGCTTTATACAAACAGACGTGGGACCTAGCCCATCTTGAAACCACCATAGTTCTATTTCAACGAGTGGTTGATGCTACACCTGTACCGACGGCATACGTGCTAGGCTGGTTGGGACATTGTCTAGGTCTTCACTATGAAGCCCGAGGAAACATTGACGACCTTCAACATGCCGTTGTAGTAGAGCAAAAGGCTCTCCAGCTTACTCGAGAAGGACACCCTGACAGGGCTTTGCGTCTGCACAACCTCAGTATTTCATTGCGAATGCGCTTTGAATCTCTCGGTGCGCTCGATGACCTTCGAATTGCCATCCAAATACAACGAGACGCAGTCGAGCTCACCCCGAGTGATAATCCCGACCTACCAGTGCGCCTTGATAACCTCGGGAGTCTACAGTGGCTGCGTTCTCGACGCTTTGGAAAGCTTGAAGATCTCGAGACCGCAATTGCAAGTCAGCAGCGTGCAACCGAATTGACTCCCGACAACCATCCCGACAAGGCGACCCGGTTGCACAACCTCGCATCGTCCTTGCGTAGTCGCTTCGAGCGTCTCGACGACCCCGCCGACCTCGAGCGGGCCATCGCGATTCAACGCCGCGCGATTGAACTTACCCCGAACGGCCATCCTGACTTGCCAGTGCGCCTCGACAACCTTGGCTCATCTCAGCGGCTTCGCTATCGACGCTTCGGAGAGCTCGAAGACCTAGAGAGCGCCATTGCGGCTCACAATCGTGCGACCGAGCTTACTCCCGATGATCATCTCGATGTAGCGTCTCGGCTGCACAACCTCGCATCATCCTTGCATCATCGCTTCGAGCGTCTCGACGACCCCGCCGACCTTGATCGCGCCATCACAATTCAATGCCGCGCAGCCGAACTTAGTCCGGACGACCATCCTAACTTACCTGCGCGCCTGAATAATCTCGGCTCCTTCCAGCGGCTTTATTTTCGACGCTTCGGCAGGCTCGAAGATTTGGAGAGCGCCATTGCGAGTCAGCAGCGTGCAAGCGAGCTGACTCCGAATGGCCATCCCGATGAGGCGTCCAGGCTGCACAACCTCGCATCGTCCCTGCGCAGTCGGTTCGAGCGCCTCGACGACCCCGCCGACCTCGAGCGGGCTATCGCAATCCAACGCCGCGTGATTGAACTTACCCCAGACGACCTTCCCGCCCTTCCAGTGCGCCTCGATAGCCTCAGCTCTATCCAGCGTCTTCGTTTTCGACGCTTCGGAATGCTAGAAGATCTCGAGAGCGCAATTGCAAGTCAACAACGCGCAACCGAGCTAACTCCGCATGGTCATCCTGACAGAGCGACCAGGCTGCACAACTTTGCGTTGTCCTTGAGCAGTCGCTTCGAGCGTCTCGACGACACCGCCGACCTTGAACGCGCCATCACGATTCAACGCTGCGCGGTGGAGCTAACTCCGGACACCCATCCGGACTTGTCGGTGCGCCTCGAAAACCTCGGCGGCTATCACCAGCTTCGGTTTCGGCGCTTCGGAGAGCTCGAAGATATTGAACGTGCCATTGCAGAGTTGAAACGAGCCGTGAAGCTTTCCGCGGACGGCCACCCCGAAAAGGCCATCCTATTACACAATTTGGCGCTCTCTCTGGTAGTTGACTTCTGCCGAGAAAGGACGGTAGACCGGTTTGCCGAAGCTCTTTCCTGTTTTATGTCTGCGAGCTCTCAGTCACTGGTCTCGCCAGCAAAACATCTTCAAATAGCCAACCATACTATAAAGCTTCTCAATGATAACCCTGAGTTCGGTACAGCTGAGATGCTGCTACTCGCTCACTCTCGCGTCCTCGATGTTCTCTCCGAGGTTGTCTGGCTTGGACATACCATGAAACGGCGCCTAGAAGAGTCTCAACAACTTGGACAACTTGTCAGTTCTGCTGTGTGTGCTGCCGTCGGCGTCGATGCTTTGGCACAAGCCGTAGAGTGGCTGGATGCGGGAAGAGCCCTGATCTGGGCGCAGACGATGTCATTGCGTAGCCCCCTTCACGAGCTCGGGCAAGTCCGTCCAGATCTCGCACGTACTCTCGCGGACGTGCAAGTTCAACTGCAGAACTCTATCAATGCAACTTCTCGCAGCGACGTTGCTGAATGGATAGATGCAATCCCTGGCGCAGGTGCACACAGTTACACATCAGATCGCCATCGAAGGCTTGCCATCGAATATAGTAAGCTTCTCGCAGAAGTCCATCTCCTACCTGGCTTCGAGAGCTTCTTACTTCCGAAGAAGCTCTCCGCTCTGTTGCCGTCAACTACACCTTTGTGCGGCTCGTTGGTCTTTATCAATGCTAATGGCGCTCGGTGTGATGCATTGCTTCTCCTTCCCAATGGATGTATCACCGCTCACACTTTGCCGGAGCTCTCTCTTGCCAAGGCAGAGACGCTACGTGCACGGTGGCAAGCATATTTGATGCAGCAAGACATTCGCGAGCGCGGCATTTGCGCGCAATGTCAGTATCGGTCTGACAGTACATCGTCTCCTCACGACATCCTGAACCGTCTTTGGAGATGGATTGTGGGCCCGGTGTTGAAAGCACTTGGCGTGGATATTGTGGCGAGTTATATGCCATCCCTGGTCCTATCGAAGACAGCTGACATGTATATGTACAGGACGCAGATGCTGACCGCCTTCCCCACATCACCTGGTGTCCCACCGGACCCTTAACGCAGTTGCCGCTGCACGCTGCGGGTATCTACGACGATATTCCAGGGCCTCGCGTCTACGACTTTGTAGTCTCCTCGTACACGCCGTCGCTCTCGGCCATGACGCGCAGCATCGACGCCTTCACGCAGCAGCACACAGCGCCTGGTATCCTCGTAGTCACGCAGCCCGACACGCCTGGTACAGCGCCTCTCCCGGGAACAAGGCACGAGGGAGCGCGGCTGCACAGCGTCTTCGCAGCCTCACAGATACCTTCCACAGCTCTAAACGGAGGCGAGGCGACGGCGAATGCTGTGAAGCTTGCGCTCAGAGAGCACTCCTGGTTGCATCTCGCCTGCCATGGCCGTCAAGAGATGAACGATCCCTTGAAGAGCGCTTTCGCGCTGTACGATGGCCCACTGTCGTTATCGGATCTGATGGTGACCACGGCCGATAACGCCGAGCTCGCTTTCCTCTCCGCCTGCCAGACCGCCGTCGGGGACGAGAAGATCCCCGAGGAGTCGATGCACCTCGCAGCAGGTATGCTCGCCGTGGGTTACAAAGGCGTCATCGCGACGATGTGGTCGATCCGTGATAACGATGCGCCGTTGATCGTCGAGGCGTACTACAAGAGGCTGCTCGACATCCGCGGGGCCGGGACACTTGGCGCAGGAGAGACGGGCGCGGCATACGCTCTGCACGAGGCAGCAGCGCAGTTGAGGGAGAGGGTTGGAGAGAGGGAATTCTTGCGGTGGGCGCCGTTCGTGCACTTTGGGATATAAGTAGAAGATCGCTCGTCTGTGTTTACAACTTACCTCGAAACGCCGAGTACACATTCTCGGTCGCGAACACCATCCTGACCAGATTATCCCACGGACGGGTAACCTCGAATGTCCAAATTCGACGTCTTCGCTGTTCTGCGCATCCGGACGGAGTAGTGGCGTGGGCTTGAGAGCTGCAGACGCGTCGTCGGAACCGGCTTCTAGTGTCAGAAGGGCCTTGATGATTGTGCGTCGGTCTGGACGACGCAGATGCAAGCGAATTTCGGCGGCTCGAAGGACCGTGGCGTTGAGAGAATATAGCGAGGACAGGGAGTGAAGATCAAGCGCGATGATTCCGCGGCGAGGGATAGGCGCCGAGCGCAAGCATCTTCAAGCTTCAAGTCTCCATTGATGTTCGCACCCATCGTCTCCCCGTGTATTTGATTTCCTACTTCCTCAAGGGCAACTTGAGCAGCGAGGGGAGCAGGATCGAGATGGGAGCGATGATACGTCAAGATCGTGGTCTCGGGCGTGGATAGCGAGCGCAGAGTGTGCGATAGACTGGCAGCGGTAGCTCCCGTGCCCGAATGATCTTGTTCGTCTGCGTAGGGCGCGGGGAACTTGGCGCATTTACCGTAGCTATTGGTGCGTCGTCGACAAGTCACCGGTTATGGAAGTGGGAAGAGCAGACGCTCGGCCCCGCGGGCTCCCGCGGGGCGCGACGTTTATCGCAATTATCTCGTCATCTTTTCCTTCTCAACCACCATCGCCCTAAGGACACTTCTCTCTCTAGCGCGTATACCCTGGAGCGCAATGAAGAACACGTCTATTTCGATCACACATAGGTAGCGTGCGAGGCGAAATCTGCACGGTACGTAGTCAAAAGAGATATCCTCCGGACAGAGCGAGGGAGGCTTACGTACAACTGCGTGCAGGAAACCCCACGTCGATGAAGGATACTCTGCACAGAGACTCTGCTCAGAGACAGCCTCATGTGTGCAGACGGCACTGTGCTCATTAGTAGCTGCGCGAAGACCACGGCAACACTACATGTTAGACTGGAGATCGGGCAGGAGACGCGTGCCCGGGTGCGTCGCGATGCATATTCCTCACCGAGTCCCGGTACGCTGACACCCTGCTGTTAGGGTGGCTTCTTCTGCCCTTGCACCTACATCTTCCGACCCACGGTCGAGATGTTCACGTCTGACCGCCCCGTGCTCGACGCCGCACCCGTACCCTAGGTGAGCATCTTCTCCGACTGCTCCGTATAATGACGCTGACCATCACCCACAGCGCCTCGAGTATCAGTGTCGATGCTCACCCGCCTACTGTCTACGACCTAACCAGCGGTATTGGCGCTCTCCTTCTTGGTAACGCCGAGGCGTCTGAAGGCGAAGACGGCAATGGCGTATACATTCCCTAGCGCCAACTATCCGTCCTTTACATCGACTCTCGGCGTACAACAGGCCGTTACCTTAGCCACATGTGCTCCCGTCGGCTTGATAGTCAGAGACGACTTGCACGACTCGACAGGCGGTCTTGGTGCGCTGCTTTCCGCTGGCGACGTTGAGGAGGACGAGTGCCGTCTCGCCCAAGTTGCTGCCCCGGGACCCGCAGCAATTCGGGCGTTCAACCAGCCGCTGGTCATGGCGAGCGCGCCCATGCCCGGAAGTGGCGTTGACTTTGACATCGTCCTTAACGGGCGGCTCTACATTTGCAATCGGCGAACTCCCGTATGGTCACTACCCCAACGAGTGCGGCGGAGACAGCACTGTGGACGCCCACATCTTCGCGCGTGGTGACACCGCTGTCGAGTCGCGCTGCTATCCGGCTAGCTCGAAGGTCACGTAGAAGAGTGCGACGAGGACGAGGATGCGTACATCCTCAAACATCCCGGCCCCAGTCTCGCTAGCAACGTCGACGGAGTCTTCCGGGCCGATCGGCATGGTGCAGTCGGCAGCATCTGTGCGCCATCGAAGGCTCCAGCGGAGAGCGTGGAAGAGGACTGCATCCTCGAGCGCGATTTAGTCGACGGAGGCTCGCTTTCTACGAACTCGCGGGTGAAGTCGCCACGCCGACTTTGACTATCTCAAGTGCTACAATGGCGATGACTGCGACGTCAAGGACGCGTACATCCTCACGTGTTGGCCAGCCGGTCTTAGCAGTGGCTCGCGATCGCGTGCCCGATACTACGCTGCGCGTGGAGATGCTGTCCTCGGACTCTCTGACAATGTCGGCGAAGTCCCTCAGCGCGACCCACACAACCTTGGAGGCGGGAGGGACGCGCTTCTTTTGGGTGTCTTCGACGCCTACAGCACTGTCATCGGAGAAGACCGCGAATGCGCATACGCCCTGTAGTGCTAACTTCGCCAGTGTCGGCGTCGGCTCCAGATGCGGCATCCGGCGCGATTGGAAAGCCATGCTCTCCCGGCCTATGCTTGACCAGTAGGATCGGCGCGTGGCATCTTGGCTTGTGCGAGGGATATGGACAAACGGAAACGCCAACTACGTCGAACGTTGAACCATGACGGCGATGTGAAGGTCTGCGCGACGCACGACTGTACAGGAACGCCACATACCATACAAGTCCCATGCGAGAAGTATGCTGGGAGCGTAGGCATACTGTCATAGGCGTGTACAGCGAATAGTGCGTGATTTACTCCCCACCAGGCCTGGTCATTGGCTGACACGGCATTCTCCGCAGGTTTCAATACACACCTACCTTGATGTTGAGATGTTACTGGGCTATCCCGAATAAATGAATATATCCCTTTGCCTGCTTCACCGTCGACGCGCTCGCCGGGTCCTAGCCCAGATACCATGCGAGGTCAACATCTGCTCGCTGAGATGCTGCTAGTACTACAAACGATACACCCGCGACTAAAAATCGAAACACAAGTCTACATTGTCACCGACGATACACTGCACAGCAAGTCCGAGTGCAAACCCAGACGAAGGTGCCCAGTCATCCGATTCCACATACACTCATATCCCGAAGTGCACGAACGGCGCCCACCTCACGACGTCCTTCTCTCCAACCTTCTCCCTCAACCGCTGGGCTGCCTCGTGTAGAGCGTACGCCGCGCCCGTCTCTCCTGCGCCGAGCGTCCCAGTCGCGCGAAGCTCGAGCAGCGTCTTGTAGTACGCCTCGACGATCAACGGCGCGTCTTCATCCATGATCGACCACATCGTCGCGATGACACCCTTGTACCCCACGGCGAGCATACCTGCTGCGAGGTGCATCGACTCTTCAGGAATCCTCTCGTCCCCGACGGCGGTCTGGCAAGCGGAAAGGAACGCGAGCTCGGCGTTATCGGCCGTGATCACCATCAGATCCGACAACGATAGTGGGCCGTCGTACAGCGCAAAAGCGCTCTTCAAAGGGTCAGTGACCTCTTGACGACCATGGCACGCGAGATGCAGCCAGGAGTGCTCTTTGAGCGCAAGCTTCACCGCATCGGTCGTTGCTTCGTTTCCATTCAGAGCCATGGAAGGCGTCTGTGAGGCGGCGAAGACCTCGCGCAGCCGCGTTCCCTCAATCGTCGTTCCCGGGAGTCTTGATAAACCGGGTGTGGCGGGCTGCGTGACTACGAGGATGCCGGGTGCTGTGTGCTGCTGCGTGGAGGCGTCGATGCTGCGCGTCATTGCTGAGAGCGACGGCGTGTACGAGGAGACTACAAATCTGTAGAGGCGAGGCCCCGAATCCTCGTTGTACAGGCCCGCAGCATGCAGTGGCAACTGCGTCAAGGGTCCAGTGGGGCACCAGGTGATGTGGGGGAGGCGGTCGGTGTCTGCGTCCTGTGCACATGCATGTTAGCTTTTTGCGAAAGGGGCCCGGAAGGTAATGCAACTCGCTACGATGTCAATGTGTAGTGCTTTCAGTATTGGACCCACAATCCACCTCCAAAGACGGTCTAGGATACCATAAGGAGACACAGCACCGCCAGACCGAGGCCGATATCGTTGCGAGCTGGCTCGCTCGCGAACTTTCTCCTGCTTGAGATATGCTGTCCACTGAGCACGTAGCGTCTCTGTCTTGTCAAGAGACAGCTGCGGCAGAGTGACTACGGCAATACGTCCATCGGGAGAAAGAATCAACGCATCACATCGAGTATGATCAACGTTGATAAAGACCATGGTGCCGCTCAGAGGTGAAGAGGAGGGCAACAAAGCGGAGAGCTTCTTTGGGAGTAAGAAGTTCTCGAAGTCAGGCAGGCGACGGACTTCTGCGAGCAGATTTCCGTGTTTGATGGCGAGCCCTCGAAGGTAATCTGACGAGTAATTGTCCTGCCCTGTGACGGGAGCCACATTCATCAATTCAGTAGCATCGCTCCCAGACGACGCATTGATGGAATTCCGCAGTTGGACTTGCACGTCCTCGAGAGCACGCGCGAGATCTGGACGGACTTGCTCGAGCTCGTAAAGAGGTGAACGCAGCGACATCGTCTGCGTCCATATGAGGCCTCTTCCTGCATCGAGCCATTCCATGGCTTGTTCCAGAGCATTGACACCAATGGCGACACACACCGCAGAACTGACGAGCTGTCCAAGCTTCTGAGACTCTTCCAGACGACGTTTCATGTTATGTCCAAGCCAGACAAGCTCGGAGAGAACATCGACAACCCGAGAGTGGGCAGATAGCAGCATCCCCGCTGTCCGGAGCTCAGGGCTTTCGTCGAGGAACATGATAGCATTTGTGGCTATCTGAAGACGGTTTGCCGGCGAGGCAAGTGATTGAGAGGAGGCAGCCATCAAATAGGAAAGAGCATCAGTAAAGCGTTCCATCGTCCTTTCTCGGCGAAAGTCATCCGCCAGAATGAGTCCCAAGTTATGCAGCCAGACGGCTTTGTCGGGTTGATTGACCACAGCAAGACTCACAGCTCGTCTGTGATCCACAATGGCGCTTTCGAAATCTTCGAGCTTTCTAAAGCGTCGAAACGAAAGCCACTGTAGTACGCCGAGGTTGTCGAGGCGCCCTGGCAAGTCGGGATGGTCATCCGGAGTGAGTTCGACCGCGGAGTGTTGAATCGTGATGGCGCGCTCGAGGTCGGCGGAATCGCCAAGACGCTCGAAGCGACTGCGCATGGACGAAGCGAGGTTGTGCAGTCGGGTTGCTCTATCAGGATGGTCGTCGGCAGTCAGCTCGGTCGCACGCTGTTGACTCGCGATGGCTCTCTCGAGATCTTCGAGCTTTCCGAAGCGTCGAAACGAAAGCAGCTGCAAGCTGCCGAAGTTGTCGAGGCGCACCGACAAGTCGGGATGGTTGTTCGGAGTGAGTTCGACCACGCGGCGTTGGATTGTGATGGCGCGCTCGAGGTCGGCGGGATCGTCAAGACGCTCAAAGCGACTGCGCAAGGACCAAGCGAGGTTGTGCAACCAGTTCGCTTTATCGGGATGGTTGTCAGGAGTCAGCTCGGTTGCACGCTGTTGACTTGCAATGGCGCTCTCGAGATCTTCGAGCTCCCCGAAGCGTCGAAAACGAAGCCAAATCAAGCCACCGAGGTTATTGAGGCACCCTGGCAAGTCGGGATGGGCGTCTGGAGTGAGTTTGACCGCACGGCTTTGGATCGGGATGGCGCGCTCGAGGTCGGCGGGGTCATGGAGATGCTCGAACCGACGGCGCAAGGACCAGGCGAGGTTGTTCAGCCAGGCCGCTTTATCGGGATGGTGTTCGGGAGTCAGTTCGGTTGCACGCTGGTGACTCACAATAGCCCTTTCGAGGTCTTCGAGGTCTCCGAACCGTAGACACCTAAGCCATTGCAAGCTGCCGAGGTTGTCGAGGCGCACTGGTAAGCTAGGATCATCATCCGGAGTGAGCTCGACTGCGTCTTGTTGAATTTCGATGGCGCTTTTGAGGTCTTCAACTGTCCCGAGGGATTCGAAGCGTCTTCGCAATGAAACACTGAGATTGTGCAGACGCAAAGCCCTGTCTGGGTGTCCTTCTGTAACGAGTTGGAGGGCGCTTTGCTTCGCCGCAATGGCGCATTGGAGATTGTGAACATTCCCTCGAGCTAGGTAATATAGATATAGACAATGCCCCAGCCGGCCCAGCAGATGCGCTGTTGGTACTGGTGCAGTGTCCACCGCTCGTTGATATAGAGCTATGGCGGATTCAAGGTGTGATAGGTCCCGCGACTGCTTGTGCGAAGCAAATGCACGCTCGGCGGCATCCACGTCATTAACGTCCGAGCTTGAGGAAGTCAGAGACGTCGAATGCAAAGGTTCCTATGAGCTCGTCAATGATACTGCTAAGAGCAAGGCAATCCGCCAGGCATTGGCGAACTCACCTCGGGAGGCACGGCGGCTTGTTCTTCGACTGCACCAGGTTGTTGATCCATCATAAGTAAGGCACCCTGTAGCCGGAAATGATCAGTTTCAGAGAGGATACCGCGCGAAGGAGAGGGTACTCACGGCGAGCCACGCGGGTAAGAGCGCTAGAGCCTGCCTGAGGGGGAAAGGAATCCGACCGACGAGCTTGTTCGGGGCATATATAGTAGTGTCAGTGAGAATGCTAGGATATGTGCACTTTGCTGGGTACGTGAGGAAGCCGCGCGCCAGCACAGCCTTCCAAGCGCCCGTTGAACAGAGCGATCTTCAGCATACGGGTCGCGCTGCCCTGGGTAGGGATCGCACGTAAGAATTTCAATGACCGCTGGGGATGGGGACGGCTCATGCATACAAGATAATTAGATCGAGCCGGTCATGGACGACGACGGAATCTGCTATCGAACGATAAGTAGGCTATGCACAAGTACATCTCCGACACGCTGAACACTGCAGCGGCATTCAGAGGCTATGCCCTTGACGCATTCCTGGCTCCATTTGACTAAGACTCTCCCATTTCCCTGGCGTCTACACGAGCGCCAGCTGCTACAATACTTGGACGGGCGGGAGCGACGGTTGCAGCGGGTCAATGCACAGCACAGCTTGCGTCGCGCGAGGCAGATACGGGGGCACAGGGCATCCCGATGCGGCCCTCAGGTGAGATATAGGAACGGCTCGAGCCTGGAGATGTTTGAGTATTCGGAATGAGATAAGTACGAGGATAGAGTGCGCGCACCTCCGCTCAGGGAATAGGACGTGCACAACGACACACTCCGCGCGGAGAACGCGCAGGGAACCCATCGTCGGTCTTTGAAGAAGTCGGAATTGAATTTCCCAAGCCAATCGCGATCATGGCGGTATAAGCCAACCTCTGGTTTGGCATCGTACAGCGCCTCGGGCACGCCATCACTCGGCGCTACGTGCACACCGCGCCACGGTTCGTCTGCAACCGCCATATACTCTCTCATTATGCACCTCCTCACGCGCGCCTCGGTTGTGCGATAGGTACGCGGTTACATGTGATGAGACCCCGAATACAGTAAGGAAGACTCATCGCCACTTGCAGCAAGACTCGACAGAGCTGGCCTGTCGCGAGTCGCTTGGGCAGTCGGCGTTCGCGCAGAAGATTCGGTTCTGGAGAAGGACCAGGAGAGGTCGACACAGTCATATGCGTGCCATGGTGCGTCGCGATCTCTGCATGACTTCTCATATACTGACACACTGCTGCCTAGCACATCCAGGGTGCTGACGTACGGCGATCGCCCTAACCTTGACTCCCCGCCACTCTCCTCCACACCCTCGTCCGTCTCGTGCTCAGCGCTGTGCTCGCTACTTAGGTGAGCATCATCTCCGACTATGTATTCGGCATGTACTGTCGCTGACCATCGCTTCCAGCTCGGGCGCTAACTTCGACGCTCGCTCGCCCGAGATATACAACCACCCCGGCGGCACTGGCGCTCACCTCCTTGCATGCCCTGTATGAAGGCAAAGGCGACGAGGACACCCACATTCTCGAGCGTCAATGGCTCTCGGCCGCGAGGAAGGCTTGGAATTGACGGGCTTCCACTGGGTGTATTCGGCGCAAACATTAGAGAAGACCCCAAAGACGCATCCACCCCGAAAGCTCAGCTTCGCCGGTGTCGGCACTGTAGTGCGTAATTCACTCCTCACCTAGCCTGACCATTGGTTGACCCGGCATTCTCCGCAGGTTCTGGTAGACACTAACCCCTCGGTTAATATGTTACGGAACCATTCCAAACGAATGAATATACTCTTTGCTTACTACACCGTCGACGCGCTCGCCAGGTCCTGGCCCAAATGCTATGTGAGGTCAACATCTGTTCGCCGAAACGCTGCTGGTACTCTACAAACGGCACACACACGGCTGACAATTGGAACACAAGTCAACATCGTCACAAAAGATACCCTGCATAGTCAAGGCCGGATGCAAACCTAGACGAAGGCATCCAGCGGCCCGAATCGACATACACTCATATCCCGAAGTGCACGAACGGCGCCCACCGCACGACGTTCTTCTCCCCAACCTTCTCCCTCAACTGCGCTGCTGCCTCGTGCAGAGCGTATGCCGCGCCCGTCTCTCCTGCGCCAAGTGTCTCGGCCCCGCGGATCTCGTGCAACTTCTTGTAGTAGGCCTCGACGATCAACGGCGCGTCGTCATCCATGATCGACCACATCGTCGCGATAACGCCCTTATACCCAACGGCGAGCATACCCGCTGCGAGGTGCATTGACTCCTCGGGGATCTTCTCGTCCCCAACCGCGGTTTGGCAAGCGGAAAGGAACGCCAGCTCGGCCTTATCGGCCGTGGTCACCATCAGATCGGACAAGGACATGCGGCCGTCGTACAACATGAAAGCGCTCTTCAAGGGATCGGTGATCTCTTGACACCCATGGCAGGCGAGATGCAGCCAGGAGTGCTGCTTGAGTGCAAGCTTCACCGCATCCGTCGTTGCTTCGTGTCCATTAAGAGCCATGGAATGTGTCTGCGAGGCGGCGAAGACCTCGCGCAGCCGCGCGCCCTCGAGCGTCGTTCCCGGTAGCGGTGACAGGCCGGGAGTGTCGGGCTGTGTGACCACGAGGACGCCGGGCGTTGTGCTCAGCGTGAGGGCGTTGACGCTGCGTGCCAGCGCGGAGAGTGATGGCGTGTACGATGACACGACAGAGTTGTACACGCGCGGCCCAGAATCATCCTCGTAGATGCCCGCCGCGTGCAGTGGCAACTGCGTCAACGGTCCAGTGGGGCACCAAGTGATGTGGGGAAGGCGTTTGCGATCTCCGTTCTGTGCAACGTACATGTCAGCTTCCTGTATATGTGGTATGGCCGGGATGGTATGCAACTCACGACAAGATCCATTCCGAGCGCTTTCAGTACCGGGCCTACAATCCATCTCCAAAGACGGTCCAGAATGACGTGGGGAGACGATACCCTGCCAGACAGAGGCTGATATCGCGACGAGGAACTACGCTCGCGAACATCCTGCTGCTTCAGGTACGCTTGCCACTGTGTACGTAGTGCCTCTGCCTTCGCCAGAGAAAGCTCGGGAAGGGCCAAGACGGTGCTGTCGCTGTCGGGCAGCAGCATCAATGCATCGCACCGAGAGCGATCGAGATTGATGAAGACCACCGCCCCTTTGAAAGATGCAGATGTCGGCACTAGAGCTGAGAGCGTCTTCGGAAGTAGGAAGCTCTCGAAGCCTGGTAGACGGCGGACGTCTGCAATGAGTCTTCCGTGTTCGATGGCGAGTCCTCGATGGCGATCGGCCGTATAATAGTAGTCATTTGCGCCAAACTTCACAACCATGAGCCCGACAGCGTCGCCGCGAGACGGCGCATTGATGGAGCTTTGCAGCTGAACTTGCACGTCTTCGAGCGCTCGCGCGAAATCCGGGCGGACTTGCGCGAGGTCGTGAAGAGGACTACGCAACGACATCGTTTGCGTCCATATGAGGGACCTTCCCGCGTCCAGCCATTCCACGGCCTTTGCTACAGCGTTGACGCTGATGGCAGCACAGACGGCCGAACTGACGATCTGGCCGAGCTTCTGAGACTCTTCTAGGCGGCGTTCCATAGTATGCCCAACCCAAACGACCTCAGAGAGAACATCGAGCACACGAGAGTGTGCGGCTAACAGCGTCTCTGCTGTGCTGAACTCGGGGTTACTGTCCAAGAGCCTTACAGCATACCTGGCTGACTGTAGGCGGATTGCTGGCGAGGATAGCGCTTGGGAGTTGGCAGACATGTAACACGAAAGGGTTTCGGAGAAGAGCTCCTGTGTTCTATCTCGAAGAAAGAGCAATTCGAGAGACATCGCTAAATTCTTCAGCTGTACAGCTTTGCCGGGATGCTCGTCAGCCATGAGGCTCACAGCTCGTTTGCCCTCTGCAATGGAAGTCTCGAGATCTTCGAGCGCTCCGAAACGTCTGAAGCGCAGCCACAGCAGGGAGCTAAGGTTGTCGAGGCGCGTTGGCAAGTCGTGATAGTCATTCGGGGTAAGTTTGAGCGCATGGTATTGCATGGTGATGGCGCACTCGAGGTCGGCTAGGTCGTCGAAACGCTCATATCGAGAACGCAAGAACATGGCGAAATTGTGCAGCCGGAATGCTTGACTGGGGTGGTCTTCGGGTGTCAGCTCGGTCGCACGATCTTGACACGCGATGGCGCTGTCGATATCTTCGCGCACCGCAGTGCATTCAAAGAGCAGCCAATGCAAAGAACCGAGGTGTTCTATCCTCCCTGGCAAGTCGGGATCGCTATTCGAACTAAGTTCGACCGCGTAACGTTCTATCGCGATGGCGCGCCCGAGGTCCGCAAGATCCGCGAGATGCTGATAGCGAAGGCGCAAAGATAATGCTAGGCTGTGCAGCAGGGTAGGTTTGTAGGGATGGTGATCGGGAGTTAGCTCGACTGCCCTCTGCTCCCTCACGATGGCGCGCTCGAGATCTTCGAGCTTTCCGAAGCGTTGAAAACGCAGATTCAACAAAGAGCCGAGGTTGGTAAGGATCCACGCTAGCATGTAAGGATCGCCATCAGAATTAAGCCTCAATGCGTGTTCATCCACTTCGATGGCGACTCTGAGGTCTTCGACTGTATGGAGGGATTGGTAGCGTCTTCGCAATGAGATGCTGAAGTTGTGCAGCCGCAAAACCTTATTGAAGTGTCGGTCCGGAGTGAGCTGGGCAGCACTTTGCAACGCCGCAATGGCACGATGAAGGTAGTCGATGTCTCTTCGTGCATCATAGTGTAGATCAAGGCATTGTCCCAGCCGGCTTAGGAGGTCCTCGTCTGGTTCGGGTGCGGCGTCTGCCGCTCGTTGAAACAGTGCGATGGCGGTCTCGAGATAAACTATATCCCGCGTCTCTTTATACAAGCCATGTGCCTCCTCGGCAACGTCTTCATCAGTTAATCGGCCCCATTCTTGCAGGAACTGACATCGTGCGTTCAGAAGATCCTTTTGATCGTCGCGCAAGTAAGACAATGCTGCGATCGTTAGAAAACTCGCATCTGGAGTCCTGACGACGCTTCCTTCAGTCGTAGTGGGTTCGTCAGCCATGGTGCGGTGGGCGGCCTACAGAAGACCAGCGTGAGTTCGCGAACGATAACATCCACGAAAGGAAGTAGGCTTACAGCGAGCCGTGCGGGTGTAGGCGCGGAGGGGAAAGCCATTATGCGAAGGTATCGAGAGGTCCATATGTAGGAAGTGTCAGTGAGAAAGCTAGGACGACTGGTATGCTGGTGTATAGGCTCTGGAGGCTGTGCCGGCACTGCCTTGCATGGGAATATCAAACGTGGCAGCCATCAGCGTTCGATTGACTGTAGCGAGTTCCCATAGCGCGTGGACAGTATAAGCAATCGTGGCCGTCAACAACGCCTCTAACGCCAGGTGCCATGATGCATGAGCGGGCGAGAGCGATGATTGCAGCGGGCACCTGGCGGGACCCAAGTGCCACAACGAATCGAATACTTGAACGGCACGCAGCACAGCCTACGATCTTTGCTATATCGGGTAAGCTGATTGATCCTCCCCTGACTTGTGAGGGTCGATAGCGTAGCCAGCGCTTCTTCCTCCTCACTTGCAGGAAGTTTGGCTTCTTCTGGCTCCGAGTGATGGAATCGCGTCGAGAGCAAGCTACAAGCGCGAGAGCGGAACGGCGCGGAAGTATCAACCCGCGGAACAAAAGCCAACAAAAGCCGAACTAGAAGCCGCATGGCAGACTGCAAACACACGTGACCGCGCAGTCGGGCCCATAAGGACCCACATAGCGAGTTCGACGCAGATAAAGATGGTTGTCGCTCATCCAAATACACGCAGGCCCTTGAGCATCTCTCCGCCAATAACCTCAGCCTCCACCGCCTCGCCGGCATCATCCACATCATCGCCAGGCAGCGCTGCATGCTCGAACCCCCTTCCGAGCAAACTAGCAAACAGCTCATCGACCTGTTGCTCTGGCCATCCGCCACCATGCGCGAGCGGGACGGGGACCATGAAATTCTGTAGCTTTTCGTGCACGTCGTACCTGCGGGCGCGCATAAGCGACATGTCCAAACGTAAGGTACAACAACGAACGTACCGCAGCTTGCGACCTTTACTCGCACGCGTATCGACCTGCTTCCGCGCTTTCCTCGCCTTCTGCGCCGCGATCCAGTCTGCCTGAACACGCTCGCCAGCACCGGAATCGACAACGTCGCGCAGGAGCTGCTGATAGAAGTCCGTGTCGTCGAATGCTTCGACGTCTCCTTCATTCGCCGCATCGTCTTTCACTTGTCCTTCATTATCTCCAGGTACTCGTACGCGCCGCCTCACTCCACGGATCGTTCTCGTGCGGCCAATGAATCGCGCGCCTTCGCTCCGGAGAGCTTCGGCGACTTGGATTGGCACGCTCTGTGCGGCCGCGTTCTTCGACTTGTTGAAGCCTAGTGCGGAGGGCGCGACGGCTGCTACTTTGGCGGACCATTTTTGGAGCGTATGCGAGAGATGCGGGTGATACCTAGACGAGTAATGGCATGCATGAGCGACGTGTACGATTCAGAATACAAGGACAAGACGTACGCATGCTCAAGCGAGGCGGCGTACTTCGTAGACTCGTGCACCTCAGCAGCATAGTCCACGTCCGATCCGACTCCTGCATCTGCGTCATCCTCGGGGTTGAGGCGTCTACGCTTAGCAGCTCTTGGCCTCGCAGGAGCGGTCACGCCTTCGCGCGCCATGAGAGCCTGGACGTAATAATAGGCATGTTAGCAGCGTGTTCGGGCCGGTTGAGAGGTCCATAGAGAAGTGCAGATAGCAAGGAGGTTCCAAAGATGTGGTCGAGTACGGGAGATGAAGGGGTATAGGGGTATGCGGCGGAGAGAAGATGGGAATGGGAGGGTCGTGTGCGATGTGCGTGGTGGATTAGTGGGCGATCGGTAGGTGCACGGGATACGAAAGATGAGAGCGTAAGATGTCGAGATCATGAGGTGAATGGCCTAAAGATCCATCGAAAAGATTGAGAGAAGATGGTCGGGAAATCGATGAAAGATTTTGGCGGGTGGGTACGAGAGATAGAAGATGGATTGTAAGACGTACCGCGCGTAAGGCCTCGGCCTCGTCGCTGAGAGCAAGTGCGGCGTCCAATGCCGCGTGTTGAGCGGCGAGGCATGCTGGATCGGATAAGAACGTCGACATCTCATGAGTCTGTAGAAAACGTTCCCTTCCATTAGCCTCTCATCACAACAGGGGTCCGAAGTTGCAAGGTCAACACGTACAGGCGGTAGACGGTTCGCGGCCTGCACGGACTTCTGTAGTCGAATGCGCGCATCGAGCAAAGCATCCCAAAGCGTCTATAGTAATGATCAGATGGTATGATTGTTCGTAATCAGAGGGGACTTACCAGTTGGCGAGAGACAGCCTTCCCTTTACTTCTGTCCTCGTCGCGCTTCTGGCGCAAGGCCGCAGAGAGGTCATCCGCCTGCGCGTCTTCCTCGGTTTGTTTCCGTTTGGGAGGCGCAGTACGTTTGGGCGGCTCTGGGACTTCCTCTTCTTCACTTTCTTCATCTTCATCGTCGTCATGAGAGTCGTCTGACGCGTCGTGTGCACCGGTAGGCGCGTCCATGTCTTCGTCCCCGTCCTCATCGCCTTCTAATCCCGACTCTCCCTCGTCGCTCTCCATGTCAAGTTGCGCGCGTGATGTACGCTTGCCATCATATTTCGGGTCCGACACAGCGTCGGCAAGTTTCCGCAAGGCAGAAGGTCTGGGTACGGTAGCGTGTTAGCCTGATACGCATGCGCGCCTAAAGAACATATGGCGAACCCGACGTCAAGATAATGTTCGCGCGCGTGATCTTCGAGCAGGGAATCGGCTTCGGCCGCGGGGCGCTCGTCCTCGGGATCGATATCTGGAAGTGGAGGTTGGAAAAAGATCGGTGAGAAGTGGAGTTGCTTTCTTTGGACGCGCACACGACGCGTCCGGCGCGTGAAAGTTTAGAGGTGGACAGTTACCTTTGGGTGCGGGCTCGTCGAGCTCTGCGAGTTGCTGCGCTAGTGTCTGCCCTACAAGCAATGTTACTACTACGCACTCATAGCAAGAAGCAACGTATAGGATACTTACGATGAGAGGCCATGGCCGGTTAAGAAAAAGATGCGGGGGCCACACGACGCGGGAGCCGGAGGCAGAAGACGACAGGCCACGTGGGAGTGATTTGATGGGAATATGAAATGGCTTCTGGTTCGGACGAAATGTTGGTCGTCGTCCTTGCTGCACGCCGCCCACTGCCGGGCTGCACTCCCTTACTTTCCTCTCCGCTCCCTGTACCCGACGTCGATGATCGCCCGCCCGCGACAATGCAAAACACATACTCACAAGGTAACTTATATCATAGATCTAATACCCCAATACGATAACTCACGCGATCTTACTCGTATTTGAAGACGAGAACGAACAGACTACCTTCATGTCGGCTGCTCACGCCTATAGCCTAGAGCAGGACGTCTGTGTTATCTGTGACGGCGAATGCACCTGCGAAATCTCAGAGTCCACTGCGCCCGCTCCCTATATCCCTCCGACGCCGGCACCGACGCCCGCCGCGCCGCTCAAGATAAAACTGACGGTTCCCCCGGGCCTGTTCACCCGCCCCGTCCCCTCGGCATCCTCTTCTGCTGTCATACCTCAAAAGAAGACAAAGTCTACAATCTCTCCTTATGCGGCCAAGGCACCGCATCCCCCGCCGAGAAAACGCGGGCGCCCGCCTAAAGCGCTCGCAGCTGCCTACGCCGCGCAGGCCGCCAAAAAGTCGTCCCAAGTCGCGACGATCAAAAAGACTTCACCATCTGTCATCGCTTCCAAGGGCAAAGGAAAGGCGCCCGCCGCAAAGAAGGCCGTCGTCGCGAGCGGCAATGCGGTCAAGGGCGGCCGCAACGCGCGCCGGCGTATGCAGATTGCTAGCGACGACGACTACAACCCTCTGCGTGCTGGACCCTCCAGCCTCAAACGCACGCACTCCACGATCGACTACTCTGACGACGACGAAGAGGACATCCCTCTGCGCCATAAACACGCGACGAAAGCCTACCCGCCCTTTCTGCCCGTCCCCTCTCACGCGCTCTCCTCTGCCTCGTCCTCCGGCTCCTCGTCTTCGTCTTCAGACTCCGACGACCTCTCGGATGATCTGTCCGACTTCTCCGACTCCTCTCTGGCGCACGAGGAGGAGAGCTATATTAAGGACGACGAGACCCATCGTCGCGCCGCCCACGAAAAGGCGCGAGTTACGCGGGAGCTGTTCGGAGAGAACCCGTACGCGCGCAAGTCTCACTCTCACTCCCAGTGGGACATCCGTCCCCGGCAGCGCTCGGTCAGTGCCGCGCCGGAGGACAATATGGATGTTGATGAGGATGCTGATGGGGAGGATGAGAGCGAGGGAGAGGAGGATGAAGAGGAGGCGGACGGAGAGGCTGAGGCGGATGCCGATGCGGAGGATGATGCGGAGGAAGGGGAGGTGGAGAGTGAACTTCGTGGGCCGGCGTACGTCGGTATTGGCACCGGCTGGACCGACGACGACGATGAAGACGCATTCGACGCTGCGCTGTTCTTCTCCGCGCTCGATGCCGATTCGGACGACGCCTCTCCGGCGCCGAAGACTGCGCTGCTCGTGCATCCGGACGCACAGATGGATGAAGACGCCACCGAAGATGATGATGAGATGAGCTGGGACGAAGACGCCGAGTTCGCTCAAGGCGTCTTTGAAGTTACGCATGCGTGGGATGGCTCCGTCGCTTTCACCAACGGGTTTAGAGACGGACAAGGTTTACTCGACTGGGCGTTCGAAGCCGAAGCTGCCGCGGCAATCTCATCAGATTCGCCCTCATCATCACCTACGCCGGAGCCGATGCCACCACCGTCGTCCGCTCTGACACTCGACTTCCTCAGCTCTGGTGCCGGTCTACTTCCTGCATTCGAGACCGCTGCCGAAGAGGACGGAGAACAGGGTGACGATGAAGAGATGGAGGACGAGATGGACTCTGATGCGGGCAGCAGCACCGATGACGAGCTCGTAGACGCCCATGGTCTACCCACCGAACGCTTGATGCGGCTTTTTCGTCCGCCTGCCGCTTTGCCCGTCAGCATCGACCCGCAAAGTACACTCTCGCCCACCCGGGCTTCGGCCGATCTCGATCTCGACTCTGACAAAGATGAGCCGCCCACCCCACCCCGTCGTGCTATGTCCACTGGCAGGAAGAGCAAGTCGAGGGGCCCGCCGATGGGCACGTTCAGTACCGTGCGCAGCGACTCGCTTCGCCGGGCCGTGATTGATGGCGCGCGTTCGCCCGGAAAGGAAGCCGCCAGTCCGTTCCCGCTTCGCAGGCGCCGCGGGTTCAGCGAGTCGAATGCAAGCAGTATCTTCAGCGTGAGTATACTGTGCCACTTGTCCGTCTGTTCGACGGCAAAGATACTGATACGGCGTTTTGTTGCAGGGTACGCGCGGGCGCTCGGCTTCGCTCTCGCAGTTCTCGCAAACGCTGCTGTCGCCCTCTCCGGCCCTCGGATCCGATTTCCCGCGGTCACCTTCTCCGTTCAATCGCAACCCGCTGACACCTGGGTCTTCACTCGCTCTCTCGACGCCTCTGCCATTATCCGCAGACATCTTCCCTGTTGCTCCTTCGCCCATCGAGCCTCCCTCTGAGCCCGCACGTCTTGAGCTTTCAGACGTGCTCGACGCCTCCCTTCTCGCAGGCGGTGAAGACGAAGGCGAGGGCCCCGCACCACCCGATACAGAGCTTTCCGATGCTCTCGCCACTCCATCGACCTTCGCAAGATGGGAGCGCGTGCCGATTGGCACCTTTCGTCGCGCTAGTGCCAGGGAGAGCGGACTTCTCTCCGATTCGGGCATGGCGTACGCTGGGAACGGCGCGTTCGGCGTTGGGGGCATGGTGCGCGGGAGCCCGTTCAGCACGCTCACTGCTGCACCCGCACTCCCGGAAGACTCGCCCACACCCGTCTCGCGCCGCGCCGTCCGTCGTCGTCTCAGTGTCGCCGCCTCACCGGTTCTCCTTCCTACGATCGGTACGACGTCCACCGAGACAACGCCGAAAAGGAAGGAGAGTCGACAGGATAAGATTGCACGGAGACGAAGCGCGATGCATCTGGGCAACGGCAGTGTGCCGAATGGTGGTGGGCACAGGGGGAAGGGAAAGGTGCATCGGAGAGGACATCATCCGAACGATAAGGCGCGCGGAGGGTTGCAGAGGAATGGTGGGGTTCCGCCTTTGAGCATATAGGCGGCCCTATGCCCTGCTTGGGACTTTGTCCTTCATCTTCAGACCTCGCGTGCTCTTTCACCAGCCATGCCGACCATGCCGACCTCGCCGTCGCATCGCGCGCTGTACAACCCCCGCCACGCGTATTTTCCACTACTCTCTCACGCAAACACGAACACCAGCTCCGGTCACTTCACCCTCTTTCTCAACGACTCACTCCCCTCTCCGTTCCCTTGCACTATGTTTTCCTTGTTTTCAATTCGTGATCTTGTCTGGCTCCAAACCACGACGCGGCCCCCTCATCCCACATTCCCTGTCTGCCTCACCCACTTGCTGACCGTCGTCGACCCCCCAACTCCATCCATCATCATCTGTCCCCGTCTGCTGCAATCATCTCCTGTGCCTCTCATCCACGCCACGACGTCTCTCGTTATCCCTCACCTCATCAATTGACTGCTGACTTATGACTTATATGCTTACCTATTGCCATCTTGGCTTGTGTGTTCGGTACTACTCCCCCGTGTATCAATTGTAGGGTCTCTCTTTCTGATCTGTTCCGTGCTGGATGTTGATTGAAGTTGGACTGGAATTCGTCGTGCGTGGGCATTGGTACGATAATCCGAGTACTGTAGGGCTCTACCTAGTGGGTCACGCGCTAGCTTGTATGCGCGCTATGTATCATTCATGTTCTTTCCACGCCGGCTTGAATAAGCCACGAGTCAACCTGTCAGATAGCTCCGTATGTTACATGTCATTATCGTAAGCGTCCAAGAGTCTCAGGTACCAGAAGCGATTTGCTCTCGCCCAACGTTATGCTGCGAGTGCATTCCCTTCATACATCGATACAATCCCTGGGTGAATCGTGGTCAGAATTGAAGCGCTCTGTCAGCAGCGCGCACTAACCTGTGCACTGGTTGAAGTCGAATGTGGCCGCCCTAGGAATCACCGTGATGGTCGCTGTCAAGTCGATCGATACACTGGGAGAACTACCAATGGATCGAAAGTCAACATCATCGTCAACTCAAAGCGACCGGAGATCATACGTACAGTAGGATATCGGCCTCGAACTGCATGGGTGGCAACATTGCGCCGGCAGAAGGACGACGTCGTGGGTCCCTTCTAAGACAAATGCCCAGGATTGACCGGAAGAAGCGCATGTACATCGTACGTGCTTGCTCAGTACAACCGAAGAGGGTAAATAAGGCGTATCCGGTCACGATGGATGATACGATGGGTATATAATCCCTAAGGAGACCGAATGGATTGCCGAGAACAAAGTTATTGACCCAAGGCGCCCATCCCTCATGAATCGGCGCCCACCCGCGATAAAAAGGGAAAGCGGGTCCAAGAGCCAAAGCATTCGAAATCTGGAAACCAAACGTGAGGGCAGCCAATGGGAGAGAAATGAGTAGATCAAAACAGCCAAGAACGAGTAGGCGGAGACTATCATCGCCGTTGTGTGGGCAGAATGGCTTGATAGTCAAGGGTTCCACAGTGAACAATTTCACATGCAGTCTCCTTCGCCTGACGAGAGATCTCACGATCCGAGCTGTAAGCACGAAGAATAAGCATGTCAATCCGTATATGAGATAGGGCTTGACTCACGGCAATAAAACACCACTGAATATAGTGGAAGGAGAAGAGCCCAGGAGTATACGAATATCAAGGCGTACCCCGACATGTCAATGACATCGAAGCAGCCGAGTCCTTCGTACACCGCGAAACGAGCAGGTTGTACAATGTAGTCTGTTCATACAAAAGATCAGTACGATGTCTACACGATGCGATTGAGTACGCACACAAGACTCCGGTAACGAAAGCAGGTAGGCATACGCCGATACCAAGCTCGACAATAATATTGCGACGTCGCTATGACTCCTTGGTTAAGTAGTACATCGAAGAGGTGTAGGGTAGTGAACTGACCTGAGCGAGTGAAAGGCCACTGGTGGACGTCAGCGCGACGATGTTGTATAATTGGCGAGTGATTAGCAGTGTGCAGGAAGGCTTGGCGACAGAGGTGAACATCAGCACGTGGGACACTGTAATCTGGTTTAGATGGCAGGCCTCACAAGGACGAGGTATTGCACATGACAGACCTATGTCGCAATAAGCGAATGGAAAGTTGAGGTGACCATCATGTGCCCAAACGATCATATCGATTCCCGTGAACATTGTAGTTAGGAATAAGGAGGAAGCGAGTATATTGACAGCCAGATTGAAAGCTTGAGCCCTCCTGATCATGTTGATAATGAGTAGGATCAAAAGGAGGGTGGCGCATAGGATGTTGATGATGGGGAGTAGAGGATAGCTGGGATCGATGGCCATGGCTGAAGCCACGGTACCCAATCGTGACAGGTTGCGTATCCCTCTCCATACAGCGATTATATACGTATTGTTGAAGGCCTTAGCTTTTCTTGGAAATGGAGGCTTAGTCGCCGATCGGCAAATGAGTGATTGCCCGAAGTCTCAGACACTCGGACGGCCGGCCTCGGTCCCTCATGCCCAGCAACAGACGGAAGACAGCATGCCGAGGCCCAAGAATACAAGACGCAGGGAATTTGATACCCCATGAAAGCGGGACCGAATGAGCTCAGCAAACTGAGGCTATGCAGCGCATCTGCTGAGACAAGGTGGGATATGCACGGTGAAAGAAAGTGCCGGGGACGATGGTAATATCAGACTTTCTAACAAGCACTGGCAGCAGGCCCCTTCGTCACGGGGCCATGCCATCTAGCGAACGTTACCAGTGCCGTCGCATAGGGTATACGCCTAAGCGGGGGACAAACGGTTGAAGCTTAGCCTTCTCGCGTCGAAGGGAATGCGTCGGCAAATTGAGTTCGCGAAGTACCCTATGGGGAATGGCTATCGTACGCTTTTGGGTGGGGAAGAATGAATCTGAAACACCAAGTTTCTACCGTTTGACTGAATGGGGCAAGCCCGAAGTCACATAGATACCAACCGGTGGCCGACGCGATGAACAGGGTCTGCATGAACGGAAGCGCGATTTTCTCGTGTAAGACCCGCGGTGAATGTGGATGGTGGCGAGAAGCAGGAAGCGCAAGACCCCACTCCGGCGAGGGGTGACGCGTCTTACATGAGCCGCCATCTGCCGCCATTGCGACTGGTTTGATGGCCGGGCCCAGGCCGCTCTGCCGAGCTCGAAAAAGTATCAAACACTGCAGGACTATTTTTGATCTGCAGTGTCTCCAAGTTTACAATTCGAACTCCATTGGCTGTTGGTAATGATACATCCTCTCAGGCTCTCAGGCTTATCTAGGAAACGCAAATCACATATATTGGAACACATCAGTTGGAGCCGACACCAACAGGGCCAGAGGTTGGCGAGGGCGCCACCGCATGGATGACAGTGGTGACTGTAGGGTCCCTCTCATGCAACAATGCATTCCCGGCGCCGGGAATTAACGCACACAAAGGCGGAGGCGCGACTGGAGAGCCCGAAGGCCATGATGACGAAGACGAAGACGCGAGTAGCGGTAAACATCATGTCTTCAACGTAGATAGAGATAGAGTGGGGTGGGTGGGGGTAGCTTGGTGGAAGTTCGAGTGCTGGGTGAATACTGGCACTAATATTGATGGAAGTCCATGAAGCACCACAGCATTTATATATCCCTGTACAACGCGGGCACGGCATTTACCTTCGTTCTGTCTACACGAGAGTGCTCCTACAATCGCCATTGACACGTACCCGGCCTAGCCAAGTAATGTCTTTCCGGTATCCTTAGGTGTTGTCCGTAGAATGCAGGTTGAAGTAGAAACGGACAGATACGCCGGGTCGTATGGTAACAAGCGTCCAATAGTGCTCTATGACGGTGATTTGCAGTTAGCTTGACGAATTCTTGTATTCCATTCTTCGTCTCTCCCCGAAAAGGAAAGCAGGCAGCGTGATAGCACAAGGCTGCCATACTGTTGTTGTCGAAAAGCAGTACAGGTTTAGTCAATCATGGCCAGTTACCAGGCAGGCTTACAGTTTCCCAGTGTACATAGAGGTATGCTGTATTAGATTGAACTCCAGATATCAGTGAATGATGGCAAAAAGCAAGTCGTGCGCGCTGGGCAACGGTCGCAAGCGCGACCGTGCGGCTTCGGATGACGTCGGACCGCAAGCCTGGCCCGCCGATGTCGGATGCATCCCGATGCCTTCTTCTCTCAAGTTTGAAGTTTCGCCAAACCATCGCGGCCAATTGGGGACGTGAACCTGTATCAAAATAGATCAAAATGCTCCTCCGCTTCCATACTAGGCAGAGTCGGCTTCTGTTCGACCTGAACTGGTCGTACATTGGTGCCGCGCGTTTGCTATCAGAGTCAGACGCTCGTTCGCAGCCGTTCGCGCTCGTTCGCGCGCTCACCGTCGCGTCGATTCGACAGGAGGACTCGCTTACGTCTACTACCCACCACGCTGCTCTCCGTTGGTCGAGCACCACTGTCTCGCCTGGCTTACTTCCTACCGCGAACACCATGACCGTGGAGACCGTTCGGAGATCGGCGAGACAACAAGCGCAGGAGGCGGTGTGCGATGTTTCTCGGTATGGAGGTCTCACTGGGGAGGGCAAAGTCCGAACGAAAGGCGCGGTGAGGCCTGCAGAAAGAGCAGGGCGTCACCCTTCGTGGGCCTGCGTACGTCGGTATCTGTGCCGCTTGGACCGGCGATGACGATGAAGATGCGTAGGTTGCTGCACTCTTTGCACTCAATGCTATTCCTGACGGCGCGCTCCCAGCATCAAAAAGCGTGTTACTTCTGCGCCCGAACCTGCCCGAACGCGCCGATGGACGAAGACGCCAAGTTCGCTCAAGGCGTGTTGGAAGTCCGCACGTATGGGGCAGCCCTATCGCTTTCCTGACCCCGGACAAGGTTTACTCGACTGGGCGTTTGAAGCCGATGTCGCCGCGGCAATATCCTCGGGCTCGTCTTCGTCCTCACCTGCGCCCGAGCCCATGTCGCCTCCGTCGTCTGCTCTGACACACGACTTCCTCCGCTCTGCCGTCGGTCTGCTTTCCGTTGGAGGTTGCCGTGCAAGAGAAGCGAGAACAAGGCGACAACGAGAAGACGGGGGACAAGGGGACATACTAGCAGAGACGTCGAGGCAGGCAACGATGAGCTGAGCCGCAACGGTTGTAGCGAACGAGACCCTCGCGTCCTCGCGGGCCCTGTCGCGACCCAGGCAGCTCGCGCCTGCGAGCTATGTACACTACAGTACGTCTTTCACGTTACTCTTTAGAAACTCTGCTCTGATACGTATGCGTAGATACGACACAGACAAAGATCATGGAATGTTATGCGTGTACGATATCCTGTTCAACTTGTGATTGACACTGTGGTGTACTTATACTCTTAAAATTATCGACTGTTTCGTCAAGCCATCACTTTCTCGGTTCCGGCCAAGCGCCCAGAACCTACCGGAGGCTCTATAGCGCCAGGATCACATGCTGCGCCGCGCGTCCATCCACAATGATCGTGGCGGTAGTTGGGTTCCGCCTGCAACCATTACTCTCATCCGTCGCTGCATCATGGCACCTGGCATTCATGTATTAGTCCGAGAGATGTTCCTCCATAACAGCTTGCAGTTACTAAAACCGTCTTCGTGTTGTGTATAGGAACCCGCTAAACCCGATCTAATCATACACTGACAGCTACCATGTTTGATATTCTCACGCCAGGCCGTGCGGGCACAGCTTCCGTCGCACATAACAGAAGACTGGTTCGCCCTAGCTTCCTCATGCTGATACTTCCCATGTTGTAGCCTCTTAAACACCTCGCCAAAGGGTTTTCCTTCCCCTTCCCCTTCCCCTTCCCCTTCCTCGCCTACGACCGCCCGACTCGCTGTAAGCTCTCTCCCTTTCGTGGATGCCATCCTTCGCAAGCTCACACTCGTCGCCTGTAGGTCGCCTGCCGTACCATGGCTGACGAACCTACTACGACTGAAGGACACGTCGTCGGGACTCCGGATGTAAGTCTTCTGATGACCGCAACGTTGTCTGGCGCGATTGTGACTGATGGACACCAGGATCTTTTCAACGCACGATATCGATTCCTGAAAAGCTTGGGGTTAGACGATGACGATGTTGCCGAGCAGGAATTTGGCTTGTACCAGAAGACACGGGACACGGTTCATCTTGAAAACGCCATAGCACTATTTCAGCGAGCGGTAGATGCCGCACCCCAAGATGCGCGTCTCCTGAGTTGGCTAGGGCATTGTCTAGACATGGACTATGATGCTCGAAGGATCATTGGCTCCCTCCAACGCGCTGTTGCGGCAGAGCAAAGGGCTGTCCAGCTCACCTCAGACGGACACCCCCAAAAGGCTCCACGGCTACACAATCTCAGCATCTCATTGCGACGACGCTTTCAGTCCCTCGGTGCTGTCGACGATCTCAGAGTCGCGATAGAGATGGAAGAACACGCAATGGAGCTAACTCCGGATGACGATCCAAGCATGTTAGCGTCGATCGACAACCTCGGCTCCTTGCGGTGGCTGCGTTTTGAGCGCTTTGGGGAGCTCGAAGATATCGAGGGCGCCATTGTTGGGCGGCAGAGGGCAGCCGAGCTAACCCCCGATTCCCATCCCTACAAACCCACCTTGCTGCACGGCCTAGCACTGTCTCTGCGCCGTCGTTTTGAGCATCTCGCAGACCTCTCGGATCTTGCGCGCGCCGTTGTGATACAAGAACACACGATCGCACTTACTCCGGATGGCGATTCCAACTTGCCAGTGCGCCTCGAAAGCCTCGGCTCTTTGCAGTGGCTGCTCTTCGAAAGCTTCGGAGAGCTCGAAGACATTGAGAGCGCCATCGCGTATCAAGACCGTGCAATCGAGCTCACTCCTGATGGTCATATTGGTCAAGCGACCCGGCTGCACAATCTGGCCTTGTTCTTGCGCGCTAGATATGAGCGTTTCAACGACCCGGCCGACCTTGAGCGCGCCATCACCATGCAACGCCGCTCGGTCAACCTTACCCCGGATGGCGATCCCGACTTGCCAGTACGCCTCGACAACATTGCGTCCTTGCTGTGGCTGCGTTTCAGACGTTCCGGGGCGCTCGAGGATATCGAGACTTCCATTGCAGAGAACAAACGATCTGTGAAGCTCACTGCCGACGGAAACCCCGGTAAAGCTATACAGCTGAACAATCTAGCGATGTCGCTGGAGTTGCTCTTTCTTCGAGAGAGAACATCGGAGCTCTTCTCGGAAACCTTTTCATCTTACATGTCAGCGAACTCCCAATCGTTTGCCTCGCCAGCAATCCGCCTACAGTCAGCCAGATATGCAGTAAGGCTTCTGGACAACAACCCCGAGTTCCAGACAGCCGAGACGCTGTTATGCGCTCACTCCCGTGTCCTCGATGTTCTCTCCGAGGTCGTTTGGGTTGGACACACTATGGACCATCGCCTAGAACAGTCTCAAAAGCTCGGTCAGCTCGTCAGTTCCGCTGTGTGTGCTGCCATCAGCATCGACGCTGCAGCACAAGCCGTGGAATGGCTGGATGCAGGAAGAGCTCTCATATGGACGCAGACAATGTCCTTGCGTAGCCCGCTTCACGGGCTTGAGCAAGTCCGTCCGGATCTCGCGCGCGCGCTCGAGGACGTACAACGTCAACTGCAGAATTCCATCAATGGGTCATCTAGCGACGATGTTGCCGGATTCAGAGACCTCAACCCCGACGCTGATGTGCACCGTCACTCGTCAGACCGCCACCGATTCCTTGCCATCAAACACGGAAAGCTTCTCGCAGACGTCCGTCGTCTACCTGGCTTTGAGAGCTTCCTACTTCCGAAGAAGCTCTCTGCCCTGTTGCCCTCAACTACACCTCTCAGCGGGCCGGCGGTGTTTATCAATGTGGATCGCACTCGGTGCGATGCATTGATTCTGCTGCCCGACGGACGTATCACCGCCCTCGCTCTTCCGGAGCTTTCTCTGGTCAAGACAGAGGCGCTACGTACCCAGTGGCAAGCATACCTGAAGCAGGAGAATGTTCGCGAGCGTGCCCTCTTGGCGCCACATCACCCTAGGTCCAATGGTACTTCATCTCCTCATGCCATACTCGACCGTCTTTGGAGGTGGATAGTAGGCCCGGTTCTGAAAGCACTCGAAATGGATCTTGTCGTGAGTCGCATGCCATCCCGGCCATTCCACATATACAGGAAGCTGACTGTACGTCACACAGAACGAAGACCGAGATCGTCTTCCCCACGTCACTTGGTGTCCCACTGGGCCCTTGACACAGTTGCCACTGCACGCTGCAGGCATATACGAGGACGACTCTGGGCCGCGCGTATACAACTTTGTGGTCTCCTCGTACACCCCGTCGCTCTCTGCGCTGGCACGCAGCATCAACGCTCTCACGCTGAGCACGACGCCCGGCGTCCTCGTAGTCACCCAGCCGGACACGCCCGGTCTAACACCTCTCCCGGGAACGACTCTTGAGGGTGCGCGGCTGCATGAGGTCTTCACCGCCTCGCAGACACCTTCCATGGCCCTCAATGGAAACGAAGCGACGACCGCCGCCGTGAAGCTTGCGCTCAAAGAGCACTCCTGGTTACACCTCGCCTGCCATGGCTGTCAAGAGATCGATGACCCCTTGAAGAGCGCTTTCGCGCTGTATGACGGCCGATTGTCCTTGTCGGATCTGATGGTGACCACGGCCGATAACGCCGAGCTCGCTTTCCTCTCCGCCTGCCAGAC